GATGGTGTTAATCGCTGTCGGGTGTAGTACTGGGTCCAGGCACCCTGAAAAGGGTGGGTACGGCCTAAGCAGGCCTGGGTGGGAATTTAGGGTTTAGGGTTTAGGGTTTCGGGTTTAGGGTTTAGGGTTTCGGGTTTAGGGGGTTCAAGGGGTTCAGGGGATTACGATTGCAGGTTCACAGGCTTTGCAGGGTTTAGGGGTCTTGGCTTCAGGGTTTGCAAGGTGCAGGGCCTTTAAGGTTTGAGGCTCAAGGGGTCTTAAAATACCATATGCACACGACCAGAACATCGCCCAGCACGGGCCGTGGCGCGTCCTCGTCCTGCTTCGCGCCCCCACGGAATCCCGGAAGCCAGTCCCGAATCCACATGGTGGGTTTAGGGTTTAGGGTTTAGGGTTTAGGGTTTAGGGTTTAGGGTTTAGGGTTTAGGGTTTAGGGTTTAGGGTTTAGGGTTTAGGGTTTAGGGTTTAGGGTTTAGGGGTGCTCAGCCTTCGTGACAGATCCAGCGGTAATCCGCTTCATCCACATAATCGTGTAGATACAAATCCGGCACTTCCGCGAGAACGGACTGCCGGCGGCACGTACTCCTGAGAATCCGCGCGCACGACATCGCCGGCACGCAGAATCCATGACGACTCCCAGCACGAAGGTTGCCCCCGATGCTGCGAGCGCCCTCGTTTCCGAAAGCGGAGTCACCAGTCCCACAGTTGAGTGAGGCCATGCGAGGATTTCTAGTTCATGGTTGGGATCGTATTAAAATTTTAAACTTATATTCCTTATTGGGTTTAAGCACCCTTAAAAAATAAAATGTTACCCAACTATGACCAAGATTTGGCAGTTGACCATGATTCCCGGTTCCCAGATAACCCCCTATATTTCCTTAAGCCATGGGAACCCTGAAATGATTTCCCGAGAAGGACCTGTAGATCAACACCCATTTAGGGTCCCTAGGCTGAGTTGGGATGCCAGCAAAAAGGTGTGCGTTAGGGCTCTTCAAGCCCTCTCAGGCGACACCACTTAAAGCGAGTCCGCAAGGCATGCAAACATGTTAACGAAGCGCAGGCACCGGAATCATCCTGACTAAATCCTGAACCCTGAGCCCTGAACTGTGTCCTGTGTCATCCGGAGGTTGGCACGGCATCTTCGCCGACAACAGTTAACAGCAGGACTACCCTCAGCCAACCTTGAAAATCACCAACCCTGAGTCCCATGAAGCCGTGAACCCCCGACCCCCGCCCCCCCCCCTCAAGACCTGCTGCAAGCGAAACAGCTCGGGACCTGGATAGATGATGGATCTTCACAGGGGGCGGGGGGCGGGGGGGGGCGGGGGGGGGGGGGGGGTGGGGGGGGGGGGGGGGGGGGGCTGGACATAGGAGGTAGAAGATCTTGGGGAGATGCCCCCACTTATGGGTCTTGAGGTTGAGACACTTTGAGTCTTCTCTGGATGCTGCTCGGGTCGCCATTTTGAAAACAACTCAGGGTTTCGTGGCTTTAGGGCTGTCAGGGTGCAGGGTACAACCCTCTCAACCCTGAACCGGGCCCTAAACACCGGCCTGAGCCTGTTCCACCTTGACCCTAAACCCTAAACCGCAGACCTTCTGCCCCAAAGCCTGAACCCCAACTCGCGTTTGAGGGCTTACTTTGAGTGAGGGTTGCCGGCGCTGGGATCTCGATGTCGTCTATTCTGTAGAATCCCAAAGGGCCCATGCATCTGTAACAGCATGTACTTGTGCCCTGAAGCTACCTTTGACAGGAACCCTAAACCCCAAACCCTTAGGGCCCCAGGGTTTGCCAAGTTTTTAATCCCAGAGCATCTGCAGTAGATCCTGAAGTTCAGAGCACGCGCGAGAAAAGCGACCAGAACTTCCCAGAAGTAAAACTCCAATTCCAACCCAGCGCTCAGAAGACGACAACCCCCCAGCCCCAACCCTAAACAAGAGCGGATGAGAACTTGACAGCCCTAAACCCTCAACCCTAAAACCCATATACCCTAAACCCATAAACCCTAAACCCTCAACCCTAAACCCCACAAACCCTAAACCCATAAACACCATGGTGAGCCGGCGAGCCCGCGGAACCCTCGAAACGCATCGGTTTAGGGTTTAGGGTTTAGGGTTGAGGGTTGAGGGTTTAGGGTTTAGGGACAATCTGCAGGAGCTTGAGGTGCAGTGGGCTTCTTGCTGGGCCTGTTGAGGGTCCCCAACAAAAACTAAACCTTACAATGCCCCAAACTCCCGGAAACCCTAAACCCTAAACCCTAAAGCTTACTATGCCCTGAGCTCCCTAAGCCTCCGGAGCTTCCTCTCCACCCTAACCCGACCGGTGCTGAGACGCAGGCCGTCACCTGCCCAACAAGCAGGAGTGTGGGGAGTTGACCGAAATCATGGGCCCTGTATCGAGTTCATGGTTGGGATAATATGAAAAATGTAGTTTTCTTTATTATTCCTTATAGGGTTTAAGTACCCGTGAAAATGTAACATGGTACACAACTACGACAAAGGTATGGGGGTTTCCGAAATTAGGGGGGGGGGGTCCTTATTATAAGGGAATCCTACTACTTGGGGGTCTACATTAGGGGTCCCCTATTTTCGTTCTTTAGGGTTTAGGGGTTCCAGGTAGGTTTTAGGGTATGGGGTGTCAGGGCTCCGCCTGGGCCCCCCTTATCAAAAGAGTACATGTGCCTCATACTTTCGGACAGAAACTTAACCAGCATCCGGAAGTCTTCTAGGATGGCCCTTAAAACTTAAAACCTTCTGAGAAATATTCATGAAAATTCCTGAATGTGATCCTCTTAAACCCAATAAAGGGACAATATAAACCCTAAACCCTAAACCCTAAGCCCTGGAGCCTAAACGCCAATAAGGGAAACTGTGACATGTCCCAAGGGCCTACGTAGCCTTGTGTGGTGCGATCCATGGCCTCCTCCACTGTGGAACACGAAGCTGCGTTCGTCGCCCAGCTCCTGAGCCAAGCGCGGAGGGTAGAGGAGTTTGGGTCCAGCGTTTCATATAGGGGGTCGGAATAATTACGAATAGTCTTCCCCGATGGTCCCTTTGTAATTGTACTGCAATAACCCCCCAAACCCCTATTTGAATTATTAAGGCCCCTATAGCAAGCGGCTGGAACCATTGCCTTGAGACGCTACGCCCTGAACCCTAAGTCCTAAATGCTGAGCCCTGAAGCCCCAAAAAACCCTAAACCCTAAACCCTAAACCCTAAACCCTAAACCCTAAACCCTAAACCCTATGTCTGTCCTGAACCCCTGAAGCCTTTGAAGCTCTGGAACCCAACATGGCTCCTCGATGCCGGCATTCCGCTGTAGCTCCCGGCCTCAGCGGGTGCAGGCGCGCTTACACCTCAGGGCTTAGGGTTTAGGCCTTGCGTGGCCCTAAACCCTAAACCCTAAACCCTAAACCCTAAACCCTAAACCCTAAACCCTAACAGGGCTTATGGGGCTCAGAGGTCTAGGGGTGCACACCTCTTGGCCGCAGAGAAGCTGCAGAAATGCTACGCCCTAAGCCCTGAGCCCTAAGCCCTGAGCCCTAAGCCCTAAACTCCTGAGCCCTAAACCCTGAACCCTGAACCCTAAACCCTAAACCCTAAGCCCTAAGCCCTCAGCCCTAAGCCCCAAATCCTTTTCTTGCACTTTGCCGCACCATGGGTCTCAGCGAGCCGACTGTGTCCGCCCCATGGTCGAGCCACCTGCAGGGAGAACAAGACAGCCCCAAGGGGGTTCGTAAGAGTAGGGTTTAGGGTGTAGGGTTTAGGGTTTAGGGTTTAGGGTTTAGGGTTAGGGTTTAGGGTTTAGGGTTTAGGGTTTAGGGTTTAGGGTTTAGGGTTTAGGGTTTAGGGTTTAGGGTTTAGGATTTAGGGTTTAGGGTTTAGGGTTTAGGGTTTAGGGTTTAGGGTTCAGGGTTTAGGGCTCAGGGGACGAAGATTGGGGCTTAGGGGTTGTAGGGTCGGGGGTGTAGGGTTCGGTGGTCGAGGGCTTCAGGGTTCATTCAAAGTGCCCTGCAATCCGCATGCCCCATAAAGGCGAGACTAGGTTTCGGGTTTAGGGTTTCGGGGTTTCGGGTTTAGGGTCTCCCCCCCTACACTCCAGAGTCTGTAAGGTTTAGGGTCTAGGGTTTATAGGGTTTAGAGTTTAAACCCTAAACCCTAAACCCTAAGGGTCTTGTCCCATCCTGATCGGCGAGCAGGAGTCGGCGCCGAGGGAAGCCCCGAACGGCCACTCGGCGGCCTCTTAAAACTGGATTGTTGCTTAAGGGTTGTCGGTTGCAGGGTTTTTTGAGTTTAGAGCTTAGGTTTTTTGTTGGGTGTAAAAAAAGTCTTTTGCAGAGATTTGGGCTTTAGGGTTGTTTCGACGATTTTTCGCTTGGGTCCCAGGAACTTTAGGGATCACAAGGTGAGTTCGGGCATTCTCACAATAGGAGTTTTTCAGCGTTGAGAGGGGTCTCTTTGGGGGGCTTGGTGTTTTTTGCCTCTAGGAACCATGAGCCGGACCTAAACAACCCTAAACCCCAACAACCCTAAATTGCTAAACCCCAACAACCCTAAACCCTAGACCCTAGACCCTAGACCCTAGACCTAAACCCCAACAACCCTAAGCAACCCTAAAAGCCCTAACAACCCTTTTAGGAGAAGGCCTGGACGGCTTGCCGCTCTCCAGCTTTGGCGCGCTCCGGGCGCTGAGCGCACTGCGGGGCAGGCGACGGCCGTCCAGCGTCTCGTCGATGGCCTCCCTCATGCCTGCCTCTGCGCACCTCGGGTGGAGTATTAGGGTTTGGGGTTTAGGGTTTAGAGGGTGTAAGGTTTAGGGTTTGGGGTTTAGTTTAGGGTTTAGGGTTTCGGGTTTAGGGGTGGGAAAATTGAACAAAATCTGTGGGCCACACTGGGTTCCATGTAGCCTGAACTTACGTAAACACCGAGAAGAAACACCCAATTGAAAGCATATCTTTCCAAGTAAATGCCCCCAGGGGGCATGGACACCTGCATCCGCTGAGCTTTGTCAGCTACCTAGGATGGCACTTAAAACTCTTTGAAAAAATATTCCCTAGCCCTAAACCCTAAACCTCTTGAACCCTAAACCCTAAACCCTAAACCCTAAACCCTAAACCCTAAACCCTAAACCCCAAACCCAATGAGGGAAAATAGAAAATGTCCCAAGGGCCCACCTGGCTACGAGCTTGGCGGCCACGTCCCGGCCGTGGCGCTCGGCCGCCTCGGCCGCCTGTCAGGGGGACTTAAAGGAGGAACCCTTAGGGTTTAGGGTTTAGGGTTTAGGGTTTAGGCTTTAGGGTTTAGGCATTAGGCATTAGGCATTAGGCTTTAGGCTTTAGGGTTTAGGGATTAGGGATTAGGGTTCAGGGTTGGGGGGCTCTGTATTTGGGGGGCATAGAAGGGACCCTATGGGGGTTATTTAGGGGTGATGTACCCTAAACCCTAAACCCTAAACCCCAAACCCTAAACCCTAAACCCCTAAACCCTATAAACCCTAAACCGTGTGTATAGGGACTATACAGTATGAGGTAGAAATAGGAGTTATATAGGGGAGTAAGATTAAGGGCCCCTTCTTGGGGTCCCTCCTCTCTGTCCCCTTAAACCCTAAACCCTAAACCCTAAACCCTAAACCCAAACCCCAAACCCTAAACCCCAAACCCCTAAACCCTAAAGCCCCTTAGGCCTGGTTCTTCCAGCGGCTCCGCTTCTCCTCGGCCTCGGCGACGCACTCGGGCCGCAGGCCCCCAGCCACCTTGCCCCAAGAGCAGCCTAGAAATGAAAAGGGTTCAGGGGTTAGGGTTCAGGGTTTATAAGGGTTTAGGGTTTAGGGTTAGGGTTCCTACTCTGAGTCCCAGCCACCCACTCCCGGCTGAAGACCGCGCTGGAGGTGCTTTTCTGCCAGGTGGTCTCGTGCTCTTGCCAGGGATGTCCGCAGGTGCAGACCCAGGAGACATGGAAGCCGCTGCAAGGGCACGGCTTCTTGTCCTGATATCTGAAAATCAAACAAAGGACTCCAGAGTGACGACTCATGGTGTTTGCTCGGTGTATCTGTTGCTATGGGCCCGCGACCTAAAGCACACCCAAGGGGTACCGTCCGACATCCCAACCCTCAGAAAACAGCCAAGCGTCTTTGCCGGGCAAGATCTTGCTGCAACGGTACGGCGGCTCCCCTGTCCTCGGGGCCACCTATAGAAGCCCTCACAAGCTACGCTCCCAAGCGGCCTAGAGTTTCGGGGTAGAGGTTGCTAGGAGATCCTTGGGCCATTCAGCGAGGCCCTTTCGCAATAATATGCGAGAAAAAAACGATGCGAAATCAACAGCGCAAAGCCCTACGAACTGAACCTCTCTGAACCTTGATTCGTTGACAGGCGGACAAACAAATCTGCTACAGGAATCCATGCAGACGGCTTTCGAAGCCCAAGAAGAAGCAAACCCTGGATAGAAACCGATCTTGGACCTCTTGTTCTACCCTCTAACCCTAACTATGCAATGGCAACAGCAAAAGCAAAGACGAATGGTATTGAGCTCTACTGAGAACGAAATGAAAAGCCGAAGCTGTCCTGTTGTGGTCCCGCAGGTGGTGCTTGCAGCCACACCGCGCTTCCCAACCCAGCTGCTGCACGTAGAACCTCCCCGGCTTGCCGTTGGAGATCCCCAAGCCGAGTAGGTCGTTGGGTTTCTTGTTGCGGGTTTGTATAGAAGGGCTTGTAGGGCTAACGCGGCTGATAATAAGGGTGGATCCCAAGAACGAACTTGAAAATCTTTGAAACCTCAACGCCTCAACCCTAACCTGTATCCCTAAACCCTAAACCACAAACCCTAAAACCCTAACCTCTCCCATCAACAGAAAGCCCTAGCCATTGGAAACCCTCCGACCCTTGAACCCTAAAATCCAAAGCCCCCACTCGACTCAACCCCTTCACCTAAGCGTCTAAACCCGAAACCCGAAACCCGAAACCCTAGACCATAACCCCAAACTCTAAACCCGAAACCCGAAACCCTAAACCCGAAACCCTAAACCCGAAACCCTAAACCCCAAACCCGAAACCCGCAGCCCCAAACCCGAAACCCTAAACCCGAAACCCTAAACCCTAAACCCGAAACCCTAAACCCCATACCCTTCCACCCAGGGAGCTCCAGGCGCCAGCACTTGCATCCCGGCGTGGTGCAGCCGAAGCCGCGCACCGGGTCGTGCGCCTCTACCTTCGCCAAAAAAAAAAAGGGCGTGCTACTCAGGGATTCGGGTTTCGGGTTTCGGGTTTCGGGTTTCGGGTTTAGGGTTTAGGGTTTAGGGTTTAGGGTTTAGGGTCACGGATTCGGGTCAGGGCAGGAAACCCATCTTCGCAAAAAACAGGCATGTTCTTTGGGGGTTTAGGGTTTAGGGTTCAGGGTAGAAACTTTGGACCTTTAGGGGTTTTAGGGTTTAGGGTCTTGGGGGTTCGGAGTTTAAAAGCTTAGGACAAATGAAATAAATGAATGTCTTAGTTTTAAGTGGCTTAAGGGTTTCAGGTTTCTGGTTATTCGCGTTTCAAGGAGTTGGAGCAAAGCTCCCTAAACCCTCAACCCTAAACCCTAAATTCTCATCGAGCTTCAAGCGGCTTTAGGAGATCGGCATCAGCGCTATGGGATTTGTGGTTTTAAGGTCTTGGGGCTTACAGGGGTTACAGGGGTTCGGGGTTTCGTGCGAAGGGGCTTCCGGGTTCATAGTGGTTGAGGGCTTACGAGTCAGGAGCTTACAGATTGAGGGAGGTTTAGGGTTTAGGGGGTTTAGGGTTTAGGGTTTAGAGCTGATGTTTGAAAACATATTCTTGTCACGAAAAGTCGGGGTGGGACACGGAGGAGAAATTGGGTTTGCTACAGCTTATTGCTGCGCGTAAACACTTGCAAGGAGTCGACACAACAGCTTATTGTAATTAGATGCAGCCTGCGTCAAAGAAATTCCATGTCCGAAAGAGAGAGAGAGAGAGAGGGAGGGAGGGAGGGAGGGAGGGAGAGAAAGAGAGAGACCGTAAAACTTAAGCCTGGTTTCAGGGGTTTGTAGATGGCGAAGATCAGGGGTACCAGAGAAGGTAAGGAGATCTGAATACACGGAAACTTGAGGGCAAGCCGAGGCCAATAAAATTAAGCAGGTCAGGGCTGCATGAGGGTTGGGGCCTCAGGCCCCCTAACTCACCCCCCCGCTAACTCACTCCCAAACTCCTGTGTGTTAAAACAGATCAACCTATTCTCCAAGCCCAAAAGCGCGGTCAGAGGTGCTAAGCTGTCCCCTCACAACCCCAAACCTCCCAACCCTAAACCCCTAAACTCTTTCAACGGCCCCTAAACCCCAAACCCCAAACCCCAAACCCTAAACCCTAAACCCCAAACCCTAAACCCTAAACCCTAAACCCCAAACCACCTTGTGGCCGCAAAGGCAGCTGTGCTTCTTGGGCTTGAGGCGGCAGCAGACCGACGAGGCTTCGGGGCAACTCCTGGGTTCATGGCGGGAGGGGGGAACGGGAGTTCTGGGTTTAGGGTTTAGGGTTTAGGGTTTAGGGTTTAGGGTTTAGGGCTTAGGGTTTTCGGCGTAGCTTATTTGGGTTCATTAGGGCTTATTGGGGCCAGTTAAAAAGTCTCAGGGTTTAGGGCTTATTTCGGGTCAGGTTCTAGGGGTTGATTGGGATTTGTTCAGGTTGAATCTGGGTTGAGGCCTTTGATCCCCTGAAACCCTAAACCCTACACCTTAAATCTTAAACCCTAAACCCTAGACCCCAAAAAACTCCGACCCAAACCCTTTAGGGTTTCGGGCTCCGGGCTTAAGGGATGGAACCCCAAATCCCAAACTCCAACCTAAGCCCTTTAGGGTTTAGGTTTTCCAACCTAAAACCCTAAACCCTCAACCCCAACCTCGAAGCTCCAACCTAAACCCTGTAGGGTTGAGGATTTCGGGCTTAGGGGGTGGAAAGATCGAGGCGCTTGCAGCGCCACACGCACTGGAACGCCTGGCCAGATGCCAACTCCTCCCAGGATGGGCCATTAGTGGCCTTCTAATCGCCACACCCAACCCTGTAAAGGGCTCGTTTAGGGTTTGGGGTTTAGGGTTTCGGGTTTTAGGATTTAGGGTTTAGGGTCGCAGACAGAGCCATTTTTCTAAAAGCTATTGCTATTGGGGGGTTTCATTGCCCACCCCACCTCTTTGGAGGCTTGTCCCAACCAGGCGCGGGGATCAAACTGGTCGGATCCGAAGTGCGTACCAAAGAAGTGCTTGTCCAGCCTGCTTGAAGGCTCATGGAGGCTTTGGGGTGAAGGCTTAGGGTTTAGGAAGGGTTTAGGCTTTAGGGTGCATGGAGGAGTATAAGGGTTACAAGTACAATCCAATCAAATCACCAGCTTTTGGCAGCAACAGTGGCCAAAAGGCCCTAAACCTTGAAGCTCTTACATACAACCCCACATAAACCCCCAAGACCCCACGTAAACCCTATAAACCTGAAACGACCTTGCTTAGATCTCCACGTCATGTAATCAAACCCTGCAACCTGAACAAACCCGACGCAAACCCCCATAAGCCCTAAACCCTAAGCCCAGGTGGCGCCTTTCACTTTCACTGCGCGTGCTCTGGGTGCTGGCGGGCGTCTGCGGTCGGGTCAGAAGCACCTCCAGCGCCTCTCCAGGAAAGGGGGTTTGGGGGTTAGGGTTTGAGGTTTTGGGGTTTGGGGCCTGCAGGCTGGGTCTCGGGCTCAACCCAATCGAACCTAAGAGCCGAAGAGCGGTTCAGGGTATACCTAGGCCTTCAACACCCTTGCAAAAACTAAATCAAGGCTTTAGGGGTTTCTTTCAGGTTTAGGGTTTTTCCCTAAACCCTAAACGTGAACCCTAAACCCTAAACGTGAACCCTAAACCCTAAACGCCCCAATGCCCGAGTGAGCCCCTGAGCCTCCCCAAGCTGAGCGGCTTACTGTGGCTTCGTAGGGAATGATGAGGGAATGAGATTGGATTATTTGGGGGGGATATAGGGTACCTCATTCCCTCCTTCCCTACTAAGCAACACTTAGCAGCCCAGTAGCCATGGCATAATAAGGGCACCCTGTTTTTGGTTGGCTACTTTACAAGGAAACCCAGAAGCAAAAAACGGGTAAAGGGTACCACTGGGCTAGCAAGAACAGTAAGGGTGTGCCTCGCCAAGCTGAAGGAAGTCCTCCTGGCGATCCGGCACTTTGTCCGGATGGCAGAGCCTGCAAGGCGCCAGGGGCTTAGGCTTTCTGGGGTTAGGGGTTAGGGTTTAGGGTTGAGGGTTGAGGGTTTAGGGTTGAGGGTTGAGGGTTGAGGGTTGAGGGTTGAGGGTTGAGGGTTAGGGTTTAGGGTCTATGGTTTTAGGGCTTAGGGCTTCATCGGGCTTAGGGCTCAGGATGTAGCCTTCATAGGGGCAATAGGTTCACAGGGCTCACATACGGCTTAGGGTTTTAGAGAGTTAGTCTTTGTGAATGTCCAGCCGCGTCCCGCGGACTACTTGGAGGTTCATGGTACTTCGTAGCAAATTATAGTACTTACAACTATACTTACAATCATATCAGGGTACTTAAGGGGCTTATAAGGGGGTTATAAGTACAGGAAAAATTGGTCAATAAGTGCCATGAACCTCCAAGTAGGTTCTCAAGAACTTTCAGATGTAAGGTCTGCGGCGTGTAGGGTTCGGGTTTTAAGGAGCTAAAGATTAGACATTCGGGTTTTAGGGATTTAGGGTTTAGGGGGTCGTCCCGAGCATAAACACCTATACTACTCGAAAACATGAAAATGTGGTATAGCCCTCAACCTTTATACCCTAACAATCAGGAAACTAGCTACTGGTCTCGACCTCACCCAGTAAACCCCAAACCCCTTTAAACCCGAACCCTGCAAAACGAAGACTAAACATCCCCAACCCCTGAACCCGTAAAACCCTAAAACACCTAAACCCCATCATGAAGACAAAGCTCCCAAAACCCCTCAACCCCTCAACCCCTCAAACCCTTCAACCCTTCAACCCTAAAACGCTAAAACCCTACACCCCTAAACCCCTAAGCCTAAACCCCTAGACCCTAAAACCCTCTCCCGGTTCTGGTTCCTGGCTGCTTCTCGGTAGGCTCGCCGGAGCTCCTCCTCGGCTGGTTGAAGGTTGTTTTTGGGTTCGGGTTTAGGGTTTAGGGTTTAGGGTTTCGGGTTCAGGGTTCGGGGTTTAGGGTTTAGGGCTTAGGGTTTGGGGTTTAGGCTTTAGGGTTTAGGGGATGGCTATTAGGGCACAGGGCTGAGGCTTTTCAGCTTCTTTGGAGCTGTTGCTGGTTGTTGTTTGTGCTTCTGTTGTTAAGGGTATACGGCTGGCAGGGTTTAGGGGGCTTTTCGGGTCTTGGGAGTGTGGGTTTCGGGCTTTAGGCTTCCCGGACATAGGGCTCCGAAAGTTTCGGATTTAGGGCTCTTGGTTTTCGGGCTCAGCGTTTAGGGTTTAGGGTTTAGGGTTTAGGGTTTAGGGTTTAGGGTTTAGGGTTTAGGGTTTAGGGTTTAGGGTTTAGGGTTTAGGGTTTAGGGTTTAGGGTTCAGGGTTTAGGGCAGAGACGGCTTTGGCTGTTGGGGCCACGCCCATTGCGAGAAGGGGCACCTCGCTGGCATCCTTGGCGACCTTCAGCAGCGCCGCTGCCGCGGTGGGGCTGGGCGCCATGGAGCCGCACTTGGAGAGCTCTGCGTTTTTCTTTTTTTTTCGGGCTTTTGTTCTTGGGCGGCTTCCAGGGTTGTTGCTTCAGGTTTGGCGGGGGGGGGGGGGTCTTAGGGTTCATTTAAGATCTTCTTTCTTTTGAAGGCTTAGGGCTTCACACAGGGTTTACGAGGAAAATGGGGTTTAGGGTTTAGGGATGTAGGGCTTCAGGCTATTAAGTGTTGCCAGTTGTCGGGGTTTAGGGGCATTGGGTCTTGGGGCGTTTGGGCATCAGGCTGTTTTTTTTCGGGACTTTGGTTGTTTTTGTTTCTTCTGGTTCGGGTTTTGGGGCTTGGGGGTTCTTTAGGGTTTAGGGTTTAGGGTTTAGGGTTTAGGTTTGGGTTTTAGGGGGGGTCAAGCTCAGGGTTTCAGGCCTTGGGATTTTAGGGGGAGTTTGAGTTTGGAGCCTGGCACTGGCTTTGGGGGCATAGGGGCGTTGAGGGCATTTAGCCTTGGAGGGCTGCGTTTAGGGTTTAGGGTTTAGGGTTAGGGTTTAGGTTTAAACCTAGGCCGGGTTGTGCCGGAGTCAGACTGAAGAGCAGGATGCTCAGACCCAGGTCTGTCGAAGGACCTTGAATCTTCAACCTTGGTGATGGTTCCTCCTTTGTACCAGCCGTCTTCATAGGGGTTTAGCCCGTAGCATTTTGAAACAGCACAGGTTAGAAGGTTAACCTTCTAAGCTGTGCTGTTAGAGCCCAGGGCCCAACACAAAAACTCTCTAAAGGTAAGGGGCCGATGGTCATAAGGGAGCCCGAAATCCCAAAACCGAGCTCCATAAACTGTAAGGAGCATTTCCCGACTAGGTAACACGGTAACACTCAATGTAACCCCGACATGCACTGCGACAGTAACCTTAATCCCTAAACCGAAACCCTAAACCCTAAACCCAAACCCTAAACCCCCCCACCCACCCTCCCTGATCGGAACCTTTCAAGCCAAAGCCCTGAACGAGCCCTAAAGTACTCAGCACCCCCCCCACCCCCCGCCCCCCGCCATGTGCAAATTCTCTGAGATGTCAATATCCGCTTGCTTGGACCTGGAGGCTTCTCAAGGTTTAGATTCGTCTTTAGGGTGCTTGGGTGGTATTTGTCAGAATGTTGTTGCAGGTTTGTGTTGAGTCTTCTAGGATTTGAGTTGTTTTCAGTAAAACCCTAACCCTAAACCCTAAAAACCCTAATTGCTGAGGCCCACGCTGCTGAACCGACTTCCCGTCGAGAAGCGCTCGCACTTTTTACTTGGAGGTGCCAACAGAGTTGATTAGAATCACATTAATCCGGGCTCTCAGAGCCCTCATAGCGATGCGGATCCCAGGACTCACTCAAGCTGAAGGCATCGTCCTCAAATGGTGCTTTGAGAGATTCAAGGCCTGGGATGAGCAGCTGCTGGTTCAATGCCGTGGCGGCGGGGTGGCGGTGGTAAGACTTTGAGCCCCGAGCGTCGGTTCGCACCTGCTGCATGAAGGTCTTGGAGAGGGGACGTTCCTGAAGCAGGAGGCTGGCTCACCAATGTTATCCTCATTGCTGAGGCCCACGCTGCTGAACCGACTTCCCGTCGAGAAGCGCTCGCACTTTTTACTTGGAGGTGCCAACAGAGTTGATTAGAATCACATTAATCCGGGCTCTCAGAGCCCTCATAGCGATGCGGATCCCAGGACTCACTCAAGCTGAAGGCATCGTCCTCAAATGGTGCTTTGAGAGATTCAAGGCCTGGGATGAGCAGCTGCTGGTTCAATGCCTCCCCCACCCACCCCTGCGGCTCGACGATAGAGAAGCGCCATGAGCACCAGGTGAACGATTTCCAAAGGGCGGGCTGGGAGGGAAGCTCCAGGAGCCGGCGTGGGCGGCGGACTGGGCACGAAGGACGGGTCCGTGAGGTAGGGCGGTGCTGTTGAAGGCACCACGTTGGGCCACCCCATCCAACTTTCTAGGAGCTCCACCAGTTGCAGCTCCAGCTCAGTCACTGCCAGGGAGGCATGGGAGATACCCATGCGAACTTCTTGCCACAGCTCATGGGCCACACGTCCAAGCACCAGAATCATGGCTCGACAAAGCAACCGTATGATCATGGAGGCCAAGAGGGCGACGAGCCTGGGGCATATCAGCACGAGGAGGAGAACCGCACAAGTCTTCCAAAGGCGAAGAGGACGAAGGAGCCAGGACCATACCATCTGGCGGACCTGAGGTTCCTGAGCCGCCACTGAAGTTGAACCACGTCGCGCCAGAGCGCCTCGGAGAGGGCGGGGTTCCACGGGCTGTGGGCCCTCTAAAGTGTCTGCAGCACGGACTTCACCAACATCAGGGCGTAGACCTTCCAATAAGCTAAGCGTGCGACAGAGCGCCGCCGTGAAACGACGCGCGTTGGATCCACTTCTCCATCGCGAAGCTGACGCCCAGGAGGAAGCATCTGCCACCACCTCTGAAGCTGACAGACCCGGCTCAATTTCCTCAGGCCCTAGCTGGGCCGCGGCTTGCTGCAAAGCATGCCGGACTGTGGTGGCCGCCGCTGTAGTCCTTTGACCCTCCTCTGCATCGGCTTGGGGATGCCCGGCTGCACCTGGCACCAGATCACCAACGCCTCGGCTTTGCTTTCCACCCTCCGGAGCTTTGCCCCTGATCCTGCTAGTCGGTCGCCGCGAAATTCCGCCTTGATCCATTTTCAGAACCACGTGCCGCCGCAGACCAAACTGAAGAAGAAACTGAAGAAGCCTTGGGAAAAGACGCGTGGTCCTGCCCTCAAGCACCTCCAGAGCGTCCGCCAAATTCTCGCAAAGCACGAAAAATGCGGGCAGACATAACCCTCCAGTCTACAGGTCACTGCTAAGGAGAAACTGCGCCGGCAAGTGAGGAGGCTGCTGCAAAAGATGCACAAAACGTTGGGTGCTCTCCAACTTTCGTCGACCCTCCTCAGGCGCCTGCTGTGCGATGTGGACGCTCAAAGCTTCGTGGATGTAGCTTTTTAAAGACTCCAGTGACTTCCACCTCCCCATGAACTGCAATTGTGGGATGTTCTGGTTGACGCGGTAGTGATGCGTCGCCCCCCCCGCTCTAAAAGAAGACGGCGTATACTTGCAACCCTCGAGGCTCAGACGACGCAGCGCCTCCTTCATCCGCTCTCCCCAAAGCCTGCGAGACATCGGAAAGACCAGCTGGTTTGGCCGAAGAGCTGCCGTCCACCAGGACAACCAAAGTACCACAGCAACCTCCTTAACTAATACCATCTGAGTGCGATATGTGCGACGAGTTTTTGGCTTTCGGACGAGGATCACTAAGCCCAACGCAGCCTCCCCCATAGCCACAGCCTCCGGGAAGGCCAGATCCTTCTTTCGAAGGTTCACCACCTCGCCAGGCCTCATCAAGCCCCAGAAAGCCAACCATGAAGCAAGCATGGTAGCCCACCAAATCCGCCGAGCCCAACCCGTGACCTTCTGGCCCTCGCTCAAGCACGTCAGAAGAAGCCCCTGCAGACCCACATGTGTAATTGGGACCCTGGACCTGCTGGGCATGAGAGCTCTCCAACCTCGAATTGACGCCCAGGTAGCCCTCAGCATAGCACCTGCCACATTAAGTCGACGCTGAACTCCAAGAACACCTAGAGAAACCCAATAGACCTTCTCCCCCTCGTCATATGCAACCTCGATGGCTTGAGACAATGCGTAGTCAATGCTCCTGGCTGAAGACGACCTCCTCAAACGCATCCCCAACCGCGAACACAAAGCTAGAAGCCACAAAGCTGCATCCTGTAAGTTCCTCCTATAGGCCAGTGTGAGGCCTGCGTTCTGCAGGCGTCCGGTCATGGCACCAGCTCACGTAGGCCTGGGCAACGGCGTCACACAAAGAACGAGGGTAACCTCCGGCAAGTTTGGCTCGAGCACCCCGAAGCGGAGGTCCATGGCCGGGACATCCCGGGCAAGTACGTACAATGCGGCTGAACCATGGAGCCGTGGTGAGGATTCGAGTCGGCTTTTTGTATGGTAATTCTCCCTCTGCGACACTGCTATAGGCACACATGTGGAGCTCGTGCATCGTGACCCCGGCCTTCGCCCGCAACAGCTCAATCTCCCGAAAAAGCCAACCGTAGCTGCCCTTGGGGTGCTCAAGAAAGAAAGGAATCCCTGCTTTCAAAGCAAGCTCAGCCAGTGCGATGGCCCTCCTCCACAAGAGATTTCCGAGAGCCGTGCGTGGGTTGCTTGCATCCCCCTCTGGCTGGCCTTTGGTGCGAAGGGGGCCCCCGGCGCCCAAATTCGTGAGGGGCGAAAAGGAACTACACGGGGGCGACAGCCAAACCCAAGCAACAGCCCTGGTTCTAATGAGCTCAGCCCAGCACTCCTCCAGAGCGTCCTTGCCGTAGAGGAGGTCGACAGGGCCCAGCATGGCGCAACCTGCACGTATGAAAGCTGCTGTTAGGACCGCGGTTCCTGCAAACACTTCAAGCCCTGGCAGTGCAAGTTTGTCTCCACCTACTCCAAAGCGTCGAAGCCAGCGGGGAGGATCTCGAGGGACTGGAAGCGGGGTAAACCGTGAAGGGTAGTCTCCGGGGTTCGAATGTGTTTCTATCCACAAGATGCCAAAGGAGACGTTGCCAAAAATGAGAAAAGGTAGAAGACTACGAAGGCAACCATTCAACCGAAACGAACTTGACCTGCCCTTTGCAAAAGCCCCTACACATACCCGACTGTCGTTCAAGCAAATCTTGATCATCCCGTGGTTGGCCGGGTCCGAGGCAAGGCTGGCGAGCTCCTTCTTGAGGGCGCGTGCCTCTTGCAAGTTTATATGGGAGGTTTTTCGAAAATGGTACGAGGACGCCACGTTCCAATCCAAGCACTCTCCACACACACTGGCGAAGATAGAAGGTTCCTTTGGCTCACCAACCTCGATCTCGAAGTCAGTCGTTCGGTCCAGTCGGACTGCTTCACCTCGGTGCTCCGACAGTCTCCACAGTTCACGTGCTAGAGCTTCAGGCACCTGAGCAACGACGGCCCCGCCCGAAGTCGGTGTCGCGTCCGTCGCCAAAACCTCTTCGGAGATCCACCTGCGCATGCTGGTGTAACAGAAAGGGAGGTGAAGGCCTAGGCTACGAAGCTCATCCAGCACGAAAGTTGGGAGCCGAACAACCCCACGAGGAGGCATGTCCGACATGAACTTGTAGATGTGGTGCTGCAGGCAAAACATCTCCCTCCTGTATTGAAGATGGAAAGTGATCAGCCCCACTAGCTTCTGCAAGGCTGCCTGAGTGCAGTGCCCCAGGCGCACGACTTGGCGGATGAGAGACCACACCTGCCGGCGGGCGCCCAGAGGTCCCGCAACACGCCCTTTCACACCATCGATCTCTGCTCCCCAGGCGCGAAACTGAACTTCACCCCGGAAGGCTTTATGTTCTGCCCTGCGGAGACGCGCCTCCAAGTAGGCGGCCTCTGCCGCCGCCATCCGTCGCATGTCCTCGTCCTGGGGCATCGGAAGCGGGGGTTTGAAAGAGCCATCTTGAGGGACAGGGTGATCCAGTTGGCAACGAAGAGTCACGAGCAGATCATCTAGGTAAATGCCTTCCCAGAGGTCACTCTGAGGAGCCGTCCGGCCATAGATCAAAACGGTGTCAGGCTCCAAAAGTCCGGCCCTGCGAAGTATGCTCTCATGCGTCGCTTGCGCTATAGCGCAGCCGTTGACATCACCCATCCCTAGGACGCGGAAACAAGCTCGATGGGCGATGCTGGGGTCCAAGCCTCGCTCCACAAGAAGCTCTTTGGAGACCCTTCTTCCCACACTGTTGAATCGTATCCAGGCCTCAGGGAGTCGCAGCATATAGTAGAAGTTGCGTAAATCGTCACCTGACCCTCTTACATATTCATGTGGTTTGAGTAGGAGACGACAGTAGCACGCCCCATTTGGCAGTTCGGCCCACCGAAGGCGAGGCATCGTGGCATTCTCGGGCCGCCTGTCATAGATGAGACGGTCTTCGACATCGTTTTTGCGGACACTAAAGAGGCCGCCTACTCGGATGTCGCCCTGGCCATCCCGTGGTAATTCTCCTTCAGGCACTAGCGTCACCATGTTCGTGTCAAGCAGTTTGCGAATGACCGCCTCCTCTTGGTCCAGCGGGACCCTGTGGCACGCCACCACTTTTTCCCCCCAAAGTTCCTCAGGCAGGCGCAAGCGGTCAAGGTTCTCAAACACCGCTGCACGGTCAGGCTCCAACCAATCGGCTGGATCCACTAACCCGGCCTCGGCGGGCACTGCGACCCTCTCTGCCACCACAGGAAGAGCCACGCCAGCTTCCGGCGAAACCTGGGGACCCACATCGTCATATGAGGACGTAGAGCAAGACAAAAGCTCCAGGAGCGACTGAAGGTCACCCCTCTTCCCTTCACAGCAAAGAGTATCCCTAAGCAGTTCGGGGGTACTAAAACTCACCACCTCGCCAAGTAGCCGATCAGCGAAAGACCTCATGTCCTCCATGCTTCGATGGACCACTCGCGGCTCGAAACGGCCATCCCGACACTCAGGGCAACCCAAGACCACGAAGTTGGACCAAGCCACGAACTCATTTAAGAGAGACTTGCCCCAGAACTCCGCGGCCTCATCGTCCAAGAGTGCCCCCCCACATTCGGAAAGAACCTCAGGGTAAGGAAGGACGCCCGGAAAAAGAGGCTGTTCGATGCCGGACCGCTCCGGCGTAGTACCTTGGGCACCTTGAAACCACGTATAGTATCTCTGAAATTTCGAATTCCGCCCTGGCATCAGCAACGGAGCTGTACACTCACCAACGCCAGTTCCATGCAGCCTCGAGGGTGTTTGCTTCACTTCTTTCGCCGGTCTCCGGCGCCGGCCTCGTCGTCGTCCTCGTCTCCGCCCCCAGCACCTGGACCCGTCTCCTTCATCCGCTTCCTGAGCTTCGACAACGCGTCCATGTAGCCGGAGATGACCGCAAGCTCCTCCTTGGTTCCGCCGAACTCCCGCTTGGCCAAAGGATCCGGGATCCCCGTCAAAAGCCAGGCTGTCGTCCAGACGCCCTGCTGGAGCACCGCCTGAACTTTCGCCTTCATGTTCTGCACCAGCTGGGCCATCGCCGCCTCGGAGTTGCCAGCCCTGAGGTATTCGTAAGCCTGGGCATCCATGACCGCGCATCTGAATATGCCCTTGAATCTGCCCCACGGCTGGCGACGCAGGTAATCTTTGAGTGTCCAGGCCTGCCCCGGCACGACCCCCAGCTCCTCCGTGATCTCCCTCTCGTACTCCTGGTAGATCTGTCGAGGGCACCGTTGAATGCGCCGCTGCAGCTGGTGGAGCGAAGATACTGCTCTCATCCCCTTGTCGCGCCACTCTTCCCCTTCTCCTGCGCTGTCTTCTGAGGAGTAGCCACCAAGGTAGCCGTGATCTCGCTCCCGCTGCTTGCGACGCCGCTGCCGCTGCTTCTTGTCTTCCATGTAGTTCAAGAGGAGCAAGGGCATCAAGTCTCCTGCGCTGCGTCCTTGCGCCAAGCTTAAGGCCATCATCTTCTGCAAGTCCAGCTCCTTGCGACCTTCTTTGCGCTCCCCTTCTTCCACTCGGCGAGTTGCTCCAGCCGGGGCCCCCGGAGGAAGGAAACTTGAAGAAGCCGCGCCCCGCGACCTCACCGGAGCTGGCTCGTCCTCTTCGCTGTCGTCTGAGGCCTCCCCAAACAGGCCTTGCAGTTGAGCTAAGTCCTCCTCCAGCTCGGTCAAGCCCTTTCGTCGGCCGCTTGGCTTCTTTGAAGGCAACGGCGGATCTTCCATGAGCTCGGCCTCGCTGCTCTTTAGCTCCCGGTTTACTTCCTTCCAGCCTTTCTGGAAGGTAGTGTAGCTGGCCAAGTCTTTGGCCCTCATGCCTGACCATTTCTGGGGCACGGCTCCAGAAGCAGCCGCTTTCGACACCCGCAAGTATCCGCACTGGTGCTGACTCACTTTAGTCGTGACGGTCTCCGCCACTCCTTCTAAAGAAGCGGCCGGGCAGCCTATTATGAGATCTTCACCAATCACTTCAAGGCACCATCCACACACCGATGCACTGCCGCCTTCTGAAATCTGTGCACGCACGTACACAATGTCGCCTGGCTCCGTCATGGCGCGCTACAATCACCCTTTAAGACTTTGAGCCCCGAGCGTCGGTTCGCACCTGCTGCATGAAGGTCTTGGAGAGGGGACGTTCCTGAAGCAGGAGGCTGGCTCACCAATGTTATCCTCAACCCTAACCCTAAACCCTAAACCCCAAACCCGAACTGCCTGCGAGTAGGGGCGCGCCACGTACCGCGTCCTCGCGGCTCTGGCGTGACAAGCATCGCGCTGCCTTGCAGGCCCCACGGCAGTGCTGTTCCTAAACCCTAAACCCTGAACCCTAAACCCTAAACCCTAAACCCTAAACCCCAAACCCTAAACCCTAAACCCTAAACCCCAAACCCTAACCCTAAACCCTAAACCCTAAACCCTAAACCCTAAACCCCAAACCCTAACCCTAAACCCGAAACCTTGTCTGCCAGAGAGCTCCATGAAACCCATGAGTCAGGAACAGCCCCTTCAAATGATACCAGGGATGCCTTTTCCTGATTTAAGGAATACATCTTAACTAAGAAGGGTGTTTAGGGCTTAGGGTTTAGGTGTTAGGGTTTAGGGTTTAGGGTAAGAGGTGCATGTGGGCGCATGGACTTTGGGTTGAGGGTATACCCAAACGATGAACCCCTTACGTAATTCCAACATGGTACAACCCTTGTCAACTTGTTGCAGGAGTCCCCAGAATAGGTACCCTCAACCCTAAACCCTAAACCATAAACCCGAAACCCTAGACCCCCATATGCCTAGCTTTTGCATCCGTACACCGACATCCTTAAGTTTGTCAACTCTGAACGTGCGTAGGGATTAGGTTTAGGGTTTAGGGTTTGGGGTGTAGGGTCTAGGGTCTAGGGTTCTAGGGTTCTAGGGTTCTAGGGTTCCAGGGTTCCAGGGTTCTAGGGTTCTAGGGTTCTAGGGTTCTAGGGTTCTAGGGTTCTAGGGTCCTAGAGTTCTAGGGTGTAGGGTGTAGGGTGTAGGGTCCCCCTTATACTAACAGTCCTTAACAGGGATTGTAGTACCCCCCCGATTATAATCCCTATAAACCCTAAACCCTAAGCCCTGAACCCTGTTTCAGGTTCGAGCTTCGTGGCTTACTATTTGCTGAAGAACCCCCCCCCAAGACAAAGGACAATCCCTAAACCCTGAAGCCCTAAACCCCCTAACCCTAAACCCTGAACCCTAAACCCTAACCCTAAACCCTAAACCCTAAACCCAAGCCACGAAAGTGGCCTTCACCTTGCGGTCGGTGGGAGTCCAAAGAAGTCTACACGAAGAAGAGGTTTGGCCTTCGCAATCGATCTGAGGGCCCTCATTTAGGGTTTAGGGTTTAGGGTTTAGGGTTTAGGGTCAGACATAGGGTTTGGCTAACCCTGAGAATGGGGATTTACGAACATAGGGGACCCCAGTATAGATGCGCAAATAGTTGGATCCCGTTGTAATAAGAAACCCGATTAAGGCACACCCTAATTTCGGAAACCCCCCCAAAGGGGTTTACGGTCTAGGGCTTAAGGTTCTAAATGGGTTCAGGCCCTATGCGAACATCTGCACACATAAACCCCAACCACCCTGCAAGACTTCCGGGTCCGGGTCTGTTGAATAAAAACCCGAATCCACAATTGTCGTGCTCTCGACTCATGATGTCATGGCGGCAGCCAAAGAGTGTAGACGGCCAGGTCCTCGCCCATTGGGTGGCGCTTCTGCTGTGTCTGACTCATGCAGGAATTTGGTCAACTGGAGCGCGGATGCACATGCACATCATTACGATGGGCAATCCCCGGAGGTAGAGTAGGAGATTCACGGGCCGATATCGGCAATTGGGTGGCAGCGGAAATTGCGACAAGCTGATTTGCCTGCGTCAAGGGGATTCTGCTGCCGGCGAGACGCACCATTGCGCTGGCGTCAGTGGGCATGGCTGAGTTCAGCATCGAGGCATAGTCCGTCTGGGAGGACCAAAAGGTCCGAATTCAATCAAAGGTCCGGATTCAATCAGCACAGCGCTGACGACGCGAAATAACCCAAGCCACCCTAAACTTTAAACCCTAAGCCCTTAACCCTAAACCCTACGCCCAAAACCCCAAATCCGAGGCAGCAAGGTTTAGGGTTTCGGCCCATATGCGGAACTCCCAAAAACTTTTCCTGAGCCGAACAAGCCCTACAGGCCGTCAACTAGGAGTCAAGAACCTCAAATACACCCCTATGTCATTATGTGAAGGGTTTTGGATTTATGATTTGGGGTTTGGGGTTCAGGGCTATGTGAAGTAGGGCTTCTATTCCTAGAATCCCCTGATGCCCCTTTTTATACAGGGCCCTCACCAAAGCCATGGTACAGCCCTGAACCCTAAACCCTAAACCCTAAACCCTAAACCCTAAACCCCTAAACCCCTAAACCCCAAAACCCCTAAACCCTAAGCAAGGATCGGTGCGGATCCTGGCTGATGCTTTCCCCTACTATCATGGGACTCTGCCTTGGACCCCTAAGGGCTGGACAAGTGGGCCTCTAAGGGAAAATGAGGGCCACGTTTGGAGTAGGTTTAGGGTTTAGGGTTTAGGGTTTAGGGTTTAGGGTTTAGGGTTTAGGGTTTAGGGTTTAGGGTTTAGGGTTTAGGGTTTAGGGTGTAGGGTATATTATTCATAAAATTCAAAGGGATAATTTAAGGGGTATCATGGGATTCTGCCTTGGACCCCTAAGGGTTGTACCTTTGGGTTTGGGTTCCCTGTTGAAGATCCTCTAAGGGAAAATGAGGACCATATTGGGAGTATATTAAGGGAAGTTCTTCGGGGTGCAATCTTAGGGGTCCGGGTATGACTCCCTTGATACTCAGAACCCCGTGACCGACTCTAGAGCCCTAAACCCTTTAAAGCCCCGAACCCCAACCCTGCAAAACTCTCTCGACCCCTCAACGCCCGAAATACCCTAAGCCCTAAGCCCTTAACCCTAAACCCTAAACCCCAAGCCCTTAACCCTAAACCCTAAACCCCAAGCCCTAAACCCCAAGCCCTAAACCCTGAACATCTTTCCCCACGCGCAACCTCCAGGTCTTCACCTCTCCGCTGGGCTGCGAAGGGAGGTCGCTGCACCTGACGTCGATTTCTTCTGCCATCTTCGGCGGTTTTGGGGGGTTTGGGGTTCCTCCAAACATCCTCAGAGCCGGGTGCACTTTTGGGGGTTTGGGGTTTGGGGTTTAGGGCTTGGGTTGGGATGTTCCCCCCTATACGAACATTCCTTAATTTGAATTCTAGTAGGGGGGACTATGATCCCGATTAGGACTGCCACTCCTAGGGGGAACATCCCAAGGTTAGGGTTTGGGGAGGCTTGGGGTTTGGGGTTTCTGCGAGACTAATCCCGAAGCGCACGGTCTGGGGTTTGGAGTTTGGGGTTTAGGTCTTGGCGGGTTGAGGGCGACAAGGGTATTGAGGATTTAGGGTGCTTAGGGTTCATGTGAACCCCAGGAAACCATAAGCCCAAAACCCTAAACCCCAAACCCAAAACCCCCCAAACCGTAAACCCCAAACCCTAAACCCCAAACCCTAAACCCTAAACCCTAAACCCTCAACCTTTGTCCGGGTCGCTTCGAAAGGAGGCTCAGGAGCTTTGCGGCGTACTTCAGAGGCGCCGGCAATGACACCTGCTGGGGCCCAGGGCTTCGGGGTTTAGGAAATTTAGCCTAAACCCTAAACCCTAAACCCTAAACCCTAAACCCTAAACCCTAAGCCCCCTAAACTTGGTTCTTTGAGTTGCCGATCCACAAGAAATCGCCCTCCAATCCCCACATATACCCCTCAAGTCCCACCTACATTCACTCCCCCTTCCCCCTTAGGCACCCATAAGTTCAGGGGTTCCACCTCTTCGAAAACTCACAACCCTAAACCCTAAACCCTAAACTCTAAACCCTAAACCCTAAACCCTAAACCCTTTTGAGAGGACATCCTGCGGCTCTACGCCACAAAGGGCCGCAAGGGCGCATGCATCTCCAACAACCTAGAGGCCTAAACCCTAAACTTGTGGGTACTCGGGCTGAGGGATGTCCAAAACTTCAAAATCCCTGAGCCCCAAAACCCAAAACCCTAAACCCTAATCCCCCAAACCCTAAACCTTAAACCTAAACCCCGGACTCCACCCCCCAAAAGTTAACCACCATGGGGCCCCCCACCATTCCAGCAAAGGTCATGTACCTGATGGCGTTTTGGAAGTTGAGGGTGTGGAGTTTAGGGTCCAGGGTTTAGGGTTTGGGGTTTAGGGTTTAGGGTTTGGGGTTTGGGGTTTAGCGTTTAGAGCTTGTGTGGTTTGGCGCGTAAGGCTGGCAGGCCTTTAGGGGTTTCAAGGTACATGTCGGAATCTACTGCAGTGTGTAGATGCCAATGTAGAGTTCATGAGTTCAGGCCTTCAGCCCCCCGTCTGCGATCTCCATGAAGCCCTAGACCGCCCCAATGGCCCTACAATTGTAGATCCAGGAGCAACCGAGTAATTAAAAAAAGTACCCTTTATGGTTGAAAGGTGTTTATAAGGGAACCCACGCCCTTCAAAAAGTGCGGGCGAGATGCACTGCACACAGCCGGTAGGTCAGCTGTATGATCTCAGACTTCGAGAAATTCGAAGTGTTGTGCAGCCTCGGCTTGTTTGAGAAAGCTGCTGGACAAGGGAACCAAAGAATTCTGCAAGCACTGCCCTTGCAAATGAAGTATAAGGCTTTTTGGGGGGGTTCAGGTTTACGGCTTCTTGAAGACCCTGAATCCTAAACCCTTAGCCCTGAACCCCAAGGCCTGTACCCTTGTACCTGGTCTGGCAGGCCCAAGGGACCCTAACATTGGGGCTTTCTCCTTCATAGCAGAAGCCTAGCATAAGGGACCCCAAGAAGGCACCTCCAATTTCGAAAACCTCCATGTAGAGAACTGAGAATGCACCCGTCTGTCCACATGTGCCTTACGCGTCGGTCTACTTCCCTTCAGCGACTGGCCGCGTTGTATCTTGTAGACGTACAACCGCTTGAGTCTACTGACAAAAGTCTCAACCCTAAGCCCATTGAGATAGGGTCAAGGGATGTTGACGCCTATTACATCTTGTGACGGCCTACTTGCCCCTTTTCCTCTGACCCTAAACCCTAAACCCTAAACCCTAAACCCGGAACCCTAAACCCTAAACTTGCCCTAAACCCTAAACCCTAAACCCTAAACCCTAAACCCTAAACCCTAAACCCTAAACCCTAAACCCTAAACCCTAAACCTAAACCCTAAACCGCCTCCTGAGATCCCAGCACTGAGTACAGAGTCGGCTTGGCCGTTCCAATGACATAGGTCTGCGAGACCAAGTAGAAGTCAAAACCTCGGGTTTAAGTTTAGGGCTCAGGGCTGAGGGATTTAAAACGGGTTTTCGGGTTTAGGGTTTAGGTTTAGGGCTTAGGGCTCAGGGGTTCAGGCGGGTTTGGGGTTTAGGTTTTGGGCTCAGGGCTGAGGGATTTAGGCGGGTTTTGGGGTTTAGGGCTTCGGGGTTGGGGGGTTTAGGGGGTTGAGGGGTTGAGGGGTTTAGGCCCTCAGACCCGAAGCCTCAAATCCCCAAAGCCCTAAAGGCTGAGACAGTGACCTCTCAAACCCTCAGAACCACAGAACGCCGAAACACCCCAAACGCTCAAAACCCTCGAAGCCCTCAAACCACTGAACTCCGCAATTAAACCCATAAACTCTCACCCTGAGACCCTAAACCCTAAACCTCTATCCCCAAACTGTGGCCCTCAGCACTAAGCACCATCACCCGAAACCTCAACATCTAAATGGCCCAAACCCTAACCCCTGTGGTCCAGATTCTCCTTACCCCCCTAGCCTACAAGCCCTAAACCCTAAACCAGAAAACCCTAAACCCTAAACCTCCAAACCCCAAACCCCAAACCCTAAACCCTAAACCCTAAACCCTAAACCCCAAAAGAAAGGAGCGTGGACCATCCTTATGCCTTCACCCTCCTCCCGCAGCCCTGTGAGGGCTTAGGGTTTAGGGTTTGGGGTTTAGGGTTTATGGTTTAGGGTTTAGGGTTTAGGGTTTAGGGTTTCGCGTTTAGGGTTGAGGGACTATTCCGAAGGCTGCGGGTTTAGGGGCTTAGGGCTTGGGGCTTAAGGCTTTTTTCTATGTCCCCATAAATTGGCAAGGCCGCGCCCCGGGCCCTCGTCAGAGGACGCGGGTCCTGAGCACTGGATGCTCAGGCAAGTTCTAAGGGTTTAGGGTTTAGGGTTAAGGGTTTAGGGTTTAGGGTTTAGGGTAACCAACTGCAGGATTTGGCGGATGGGGGAAAAGAAGTAGGGACAAGCATCATTGACCTCCATCACAAAAAGGATCCTGAACCTCCCCCAAGATATTTGGAGTTTGGGACCACAAGTCAGTGGGAAAGTCACCTGGGAGTACGAAAGGGTACCCTGTTTCTGGAAAACTGCGGGGGGGGGGGGGGGGGGGGGTCGAAACCCCAACCCCGAACCAAAACCCCAAACCCCAAACCCTAAACCCTGAACGTTAGGCAAAGGGCTAGGGTTAGTTGTTAGGCCAAGAAAGGTCCCAGGACCTCGGTTTAGGGTTTAGGGTTTAGGGTTTGGGGTTCAGGATTTCGGGCATCAAATATAAAAACCGCCGGGCTTCCTGGTATCAGGCCTTCATCCACGTAGCCTCGGCTGGGCCATTCTGAGCAGGGTTCGGGTTTCGGGTTTAGGGTTTAGGGTTTGGGGTTTGGGGGGGGTGGGGGTGGGGGGGGTTGGGGTTTGGGGTTAGGGTTTAGGGTATCAAATTGTTATGCTTATTTTTGTCCACGTTACTGTTGTTGCGCGCCGTTTGCCAATGCTGACTAGGGGTTCTGGCGCTTGCTCACATAGGGCGATATAGGGCAATATAGGGTTAGATAGGGTCGTGTATTCCCCCTCAAATGCCTCGACTACGGCTGCTCGCACGGCCACGTGCAAACTCAGCGTACGGTCTCCCAGCTCAAGAAAGGATACCAACGAAACAGTAACCTCCCCAGAACCCTAAACCCTAAACCCTAAACCCTGAACCCTAAACCCTAAACCCTGAACCCTGAACCCTAAACCCTAAACCCAAACCCTAAACCCTAAACCTAAACCCTGAACCTGAAGATCAAGAGTTGGCAGCTGCCGCTGGGCAGGTTGTCGCACTCCTCGGTCATGAAGCGGGTGCTGACGCTCCTTGCGGCTTGGGGTTGTAGGGTTGTAGGGTTTTAGGGTTTTAGGGTTTTAGGGTTTTAGGGCTTTAGGGGTTTAGGGTTTTTGGGTTTTAGGGTTTTCGGGTGTTCGGGATTTAGGGTTTTACGGTTTTACGGTTTTACGGTTTTACGGTTTTAGGGTGTTAGGGTTTTAGGGTTTTAGGGTTTTAGGGTTTTAGGTTTAGGGTTTAGGGTTTTTAGGGTTTAGGGTTTAGGGTCCTGCTGCTGAGGTTTAAGGCTTTCGGGTTTTAGGTTCAGGGTTTTAGGATTCGTTTGGGGTTGTAGGGGTTGAGAGTCTCAAAGTGTGCCTAAATGGGGTATATGACTTCGGGGCCCAAGCATGTACTATTCAGGTACATGGACCCTCAGGGTCAGCAGTTGTCTGCAAATGGAAGTGCTTCCTGGTTCTTCGTAGTATAAATTCGAGACCCTGAACCCTAAACCCTAAACCCTAACCCCCCTGAACCCTAAACCCTAAACCCTAAACCCTAAACCCTAAACCCTAAACCCTAAACCCCATTCGGGGGAATTCGGTGCCCTTCATGGTCAGCCCTGGGTCAAGACATGAAACCCTAAACCCTAAACCCTAAACCCTAAACCCTAAACCCTAAACCCTAAACCCCTAAAAAGTGCTCGACTTCAACGGGACCCCCTGGTTCCTTAGTCGGGAATGAGGGAATTCTTACCCTGAAGAGTATTCAGGGTTTAGGGTTTAGGGTTTAGAGTTTATAAGGTTTAGGGTTTAGGGGTTAGGGTTTAGGGTTTAGGTTTTAGGGTTGTTTAGGGTTTAGGGTTTGGGGTTTAGGGTTTAGGGTTTAGGGTTTCGGGTTTAGGGTTTAGGGTTTAGGGCTTGGGGTTTAGGGTTTAGGGTTTAGGGTTTATAAGGTTTAGGGTTTAGGGTTTAGGGGTTAGGGTTTAGGGTTTAGGTTTTAGGGTTGTTTAGGGTTTAGGGTTTAGGGTTTGGGGTTTAGGGTTTAGGGTTTCGGGTTTCGGGTTTAGGGTTTAGGGTTTAGGGCTTGGGGTTTGGGGTTTAGGGTTTAGGGTTTAGGGTTTAGGGCTTAGGCCGACCTCGTCCCTACAGCCCGAATACTTAAGCCCTGACAACCTCTACCTTGTTCAGACGGCATCTTGCAGACGTGGGATTGCTTTGGGTTTTGGGGCCTACGGAAAGCCACAGCTCCCACGTGCAAGCCCCCGATGCCAACGAACCACGAGACCCAAATCTCGGCGCAAATCTGAACAAAGCTAAACCCTAAACCCTAGACCCTAAACCCTAAATCCTCAAAGGTCTGAAGGCCTTAGCACCACATGGAGAGAGGAGAGGGGGGGGGGAATTCTACAGCGAGGCTGGGAAGTATTCCTCAGAGTTCAGGGGACCAACCACCCGCCCCCAGACATGAACGACACATGAGTGAGATCAGCCATCCGAAGCTCCGAAGCCCCAAAGGTCTTGGAATTAGGGTTGAGAATATAAGGGCAGCCACAGTCCCCTGAAAACATCATGATGCTGTTCTACTCCCTTTTGGTGTCAGATTAAAAAAGAAAAAGGAAGACGGAAATTCCTAAGGAAAACTAAAAAGAAGACATAATCCCTTAGGAAAAAAACTCGAGCTTTTGCCTCCGCGCCATGATATAGGCGACGGACAGCCGTGAGGACCAGCTCTCGTACTCGATCGGCTGGGTGACCTCGGCGTTTGGGCTTGTAGGGTCTCTGGTCGAGGCTGAGAGTCTACGGTCTAGGCTTTAAGGTCTAGGCTTAGGGTCTTCAGGTCTACGCTTAGCGTCGAAGGTCTAGGCTTAGGGTCTAAGGCCTAGTACTGGTAGCCTAGGCTTAGGGTCTAAGGTCGAGGCTTAGGGGCTAAGGTCGAGGCTCAGGGTCTAAGGTTGAAGCTTCGGGTCTAAGGTTAGTTCTATGGGTCCTGATCATGGCCCCTTGCCTGCTTGAAAAGGTTCTGAAGTACAGGGCCGTCCGTTGTAGAGGGTATATATAGGGGGTACACAAGGGCCCCCTTCTAAGGGCCCATACGTGACCGCTCAGTTTCCCAGATTTCACCTCTGAACCCCGGCCCAAGACTGGAACAGTTTGAGGGAGTGTGATTCGGGCTTGTGGGCTTCAGGATTCAGCCCGAAACCCTGAGCCCTTCTGGCCCGCCGACAGAAACCCTGAGCCCTGAACCCGAAACTCTTAAGCGGAGACCCCATATATTTACACCATATATGCCCCATACAACCCAAGGCCCCATACTTCAGAACCCTTTTAAAACGGTCAGGGACCATGTTGAGGGACCTTGGAACTACCCTAAGATGAACCCGAAACCCTAAAACCCTAGACCTTAAACCCTAAAACCCCAAAACCCCAAAACCCCAAAACCCCAAAACCCTAAAACCCTAAAACCCTAAAACCCTAAAACCCTAAAACCCTAAAACCCTAAAACCCTAAAACCCTAAAACCCTAAAACCCTAAAACCCTAAAACCCTAACACCCTAAAACCCTAAAACCCTAAAACCCTAAAACCCTAAAACCCTAAAACCCTAAAACCCTAAAGCCCTAAAACCCTAAAACCCTAAAACCCTAAAACCCTAAAACCCTAAAACCCTAAAACCCTCAACCCTAAACCCTAAACCCCTTTATGGTTCCCTAGCTGCCGGCCTCCTTGGCCACGTCGTGCAGCGCGGCAAGGATGCCATCTGTGGGGTGGTTCACCTCCTGCTCCTCCAGGGGAAACTCAGGAAGAATCTAACCCTAAACCCTAAACCCGAAACCCTAAACCCCAAACCCGAATCCTGGAGCCCATGCTTACAGGTTCTAAGGGTTGTTTCATAGGCCCTTCATCTGGTCCCTTACCTCGTTTTTTAAAGTGTCCTGATGTATGTGCCCTTGATTTGTGTAGGGTAGGGTTATATAAGGATCCCCTTTTAACTGCCCGTATTAAAGGACCATGTAACTACTCTTGGAGAGGTACTAGAACCAGAACAACCTAGGAATAACGTTTAGGATTTGGGGTGTATTGGTCGAGGCAGTGTGTACTTCCGCTGAAAGCCCCTGACGCCCAACCATGAGTTTGGGCGGCTCAGTCAAGAGGGCTTATAGGCTGTATTTAATAAATATTTAGGCTAAGGGCTGCTGTTGGTTCGGGGGACCAAAGAGTTGAGGGTCCAAACCCAATAAGCTTTGGCACTTCTGGGGTTTCCAAAGAAACGGCCACAGACGAAAACCCCTGAACCTAAACGAACACTACCACCGAGGAGTTCAAGGACAAAGCTGAAGGATATTACGTACCCTGCGCGCTAACTTGAAGGGACTATTGTTCCTGCTGCTATGACTATTTTTATTTGTACTACTACTCTGATTATTCGTATTCTTACTTTTGAATTGTTATGATTATCTTTAAAGGGATAACTTAGGGTTGAACCCCCCCACAGCAATGCCAGCACAGGACTCTAAGCCCCAAGACATAAACAAAATCCTTCGCCGTAGAATTCCAAGACATAACCGCAACACGTTAAGCCCTGAAACCTGAACTTCAAGCCGAAAAAAAAACATCTGAAACCAAAACCCTGAACCCTAACCCTAAACCCAGCAACCTAAAATTGACTTCCAGAATACCCAAGTTCTTAGCTAACACTCCCCGCTGGCGGCTCCACCAAGGAGGTTTCCTGGCTTTCCTCGGATTCTCATCGCAGCTTCCCCAAATACCCCCCGATACCCCTGAAATGAGGAAAACATCTCAATCGAAACAGGAGACCCTAATTCTAACTCCTACCCTGCGCCCCAAACTCTAAAGCCTAATAAAACCACAAGCCCCTTACCCCAAACCCCAAAACAAACGAGGTATTGAGTTGGTCTCTCTGGGTTGTCTCCAGGGGCTCAACTTGGAGGTTCATTCAAACTGCACTTCTTACTGTACTTGCAGCCATTTTATGGCACTTAAGGAGTTCTATAAGTGGGTCTTAAGTACAGTTACAACTGGCTAATAAGCACCATGAACCCTAAACCCTGTGGGGGTTATGCCCTACATATACATACATATATATATATGTATATGTTTCTTATTCATTTATGTGGGGGGCCATAGGCCAGTCTCTTTTTTTGTAGACTTTTTGCAACAAAAACTACAAAGGGCAGTTGCACGAAATATTTACGTATAGAGAATACGAGCAGGTAACCTGTGATTGCAAGACGGTGATATCCGCCGACCCCAGCTTTGAGCGGGGGAGGCGCTAGTGAAGACTCCATGGCGTCGGCGTAACCCCGCACCTTAAGCTGACTTTAAAGGGCCCCAGTCCGTGCCTCGCCCTTCCCGCCCTTCCCGCCCTTCCCGCCCTTCCCGCCCTTCCCACCCTTCCCGCCCGCTCCGCCCGCCATGGCTCATGACCCCATGGCCTCATGGTCCCATAAAGGGCCCCAGTGCATGCCCACCCCCATGGTCCCATGGCTCCATGCCCCCTGGCCCACTCCTGGCCCCATGCTCCTCTCTTCTTTAGCTGGCTTTGCGCCCTTCCCGTTTTCCCGCCCCGCCATGGCTCATGGCCCCATGGCCTCATGGTCCCGTGGCTTCATGGGTCCTGGCCCCATGCCCCTTTCTTCTTTTTGCTGACTTTTCCGGGCCCCAGTCCATGCCCGCCCCCTCCGCCCTTCCCGCCCTTCCCGCCCTTCCCGCCCTTCCCGCCCGCCATGGCTCATGGCCCCATCCATGGTGCCATGGTCCCATAAAAGGGCCCGTTCGCCCCCTGCCATGGCTTATGGCCCCATGGTCTCATGGCTCTAGCCCCCTGGCGCCATGCCCCTGGCCCCACGCCTTTCTTCGATAAGCTGACTTAAAGGGCCCCAGTCCATGCCCGCCCCCTCCTCCGCCCTTCCCGCCCTTCCCGCCCTTCCCGCCCGCTCCGCCCACCATGGCTCATGGTTTCATGGCGCCATGGTCCCACCCGGCCCTGTGCCCACCCCCCCTCGTTTCTTTTTTCCCATCCGTTCCGCCCGCCATGGCTCATGGCCCCCTATGGTCCCATGGCTCCATGCTCCCTGGTCCCATGCCCCAGCTGACTTGCCCTTCCCGCCCTTCCCGCCCGCTCCGCCTCAGAGTCCATAAAAGGGCTCATGGTCCCATGGCCCCATGGTCCCATGGCTCTAGCCCCCTGGTTCCATGCCCTTCTCTTCTATGAGCTGGCTTTGTGCTGACTTATGGCTCATGGCACGCCGTGCATGCCCGCCCCCTCCGCCGTTCCTTCCCCTTCCCGCCCGTTCCGCCCGCCATGGCTCATGGCCCCCTATGGTCCCATGGCTCCATGCTCCCTGGTCCCATGCCCCTTCTTTGATAAGCTGACCCCCAGTGCATGCCCGCCCCCTCCGCCCTTCCCGCCCTTCCCGCCCTTCCTGCCCCGCTCCGCATGGTCCCATAAAAGGGTCCCAGCGCATGCTTGCCCCGTCCGCCCTTCCCGCCCTTCCCGCCCTTCCCGCCCTTCCCGCCCTTCCCGCCCATGGCTCATGGCCCCAATAGCCCCATGGTCCCATGGCTCCATGCCCGCTCCGCCCACCCCGCCATGGCTCATGGCCCCATGGCCCACGACTCTAGCCCCCTGATTCCATGCCCTTCTCTTCTATGAGCTGGCTTTGTGCTGACTTATGGCTCATGGCACCACGGCCCCATGGTCCCATGACCTGGCCTCATGCCCCTCTCTTCTCTAAGTTAAGCCCTAAACCCTGGGCCCTAAACCCGAAACCCTAAACCCTAAACCGTAGACCGCTCACTCTCCTCCTGCCTCTGCGAATTCGTCGAAAGATGGCCTGCCATCCTTGTTCTTGTCCGGTTTGCGCGGAGCATCAGGTTGAGGGGTCGGCGGCACTGGCGGTAGCCATTAAATCGGGCAGCGCGAGGTCCCCAAAGGACCGAGCAAATGCGGACCTTTTAGCCCGGGTCGTCCCGGGAATAGCCTTGCTGGCCTCTGGCCTTCTGCGAAGCAGAATTAGGCCGGACGCCAGTGCCGCCGACCCCCGCGTGCCGCCGGTGAACGGTTTTTTTTTTTCGTGGTTTTTTGCGTCGCCACGGAGGCCCCCAGAGGGCGCGCATCATGAGCATCAGCGGGTCCAGCCCGGGACCCCCAGGCGCGCATCAGGAGCATCAGCGGCTCCCGGGGCGGGACCGCGGGGGGGCATCAGGAGCATGATGCCCCCCAAAGGGCGGGCATAAGCGACGTGTCTAAGCCCGGGGCTAGGAAAAAGGGAGTTTAGGGGCCTTATAAAGTGCTTAGAAACGTTAAGGGAGTCTCGGAGCCTCAAACGCTTAGAGATTTGAAGGGAGTTTAGGGGCCTGAAAATGCTTAGAAACTTAACGCTTAGAGATTTTAAGGGAGTTTAGGGGCCTCAACATGCTTAGAAACTGCTCGCCCCGGGCTTCTGCGTGCGCTGCCCGCCCATGGGCGCAGCCCCTTAAAATAAATTCACAAACATACAAGTCTGTATACACATACTATTTCTACATGCATATTCATATACACCCTAAACCTCAAAAAAACTGGCCATGAAGTCCCGAGACTAGCCCTACACCCCAAACTCAACTGCTGGGGGGAGGCTCACAGGCCCAAACCTAACTCATTGGGTCTTGCCCACTGGTTCCGACGCCCCAACTTCCCCCTGAACCCTCAAAACTCAGAACTTGAAGTCCTAAGCCCTAAGCCGAAGCCCAAACCTTGCAAACTCTAAGCCGAAACCTCATTCAAATTTCATGCGTCAGTGGTGACTTTGGTTCGGCACCCAGCAATCACGCCATGGGGTTTAGGGTTCAGGAGTCGGGCTGAGTGGCAGTAGGCCCGTTTAGAATTGTAATTCGGTCTAGATGTCTTAGCGATTGATTTGGGACATGGGTGCTTAGAGTTCAGGGTCCAGGGTCCAGGGTTTAGGGTTTAGGGTTTTCGAGCGTGCAAAACCAATCTGGTCCGTAGCAAGTCGTCATACTAACAGTGGGTTTAGGGCTTAGGGTTTAGGGACATAGGGGGTTAGGGTTCAGCGGCCAAACTCAGGCAAGCCTCGCTGGCCCCTCCGCGGAAGACCACGAGGGTGTCCGGTGGCCGCCCCGTCCTCAAGGTTGCAGAAAAGGCCCGAAACCCCTACATGCCCTACACTACCCTGCGCTACCTACAGTGTGGCACCGAAGGGGTTTAGGGTTTAGGGTTTAGGGTTTAGGGTTTAGGGTTTAGGGTTTAGGGTGTAGGCTAACTCCCCAATGCCCGATATTGTTTCCTCTTCCTCAACTTCTCTTCTTGGGGTTTACTAAAGTCAGGACAGTTTCAGGCTTCTGCAAACGGGTACTTATGGGTAGCAAGGGTTAGGGAAGGACTCTACAAGGTGGGTATTGGGGAAGATGCTCCCCAAACCCCAAACGAACCTTGAGCCCGAAGTCATCAACCCCGAAACCTTATATAAACCTTAAACTTCAAACCTGAAACCTCAGACCCCCAAACCCAAAGCCCCGAATCTAAACCTCTCAAAGCTCAAACACCAAACCCTGAAGACACGGTTTGCACGCCGGGGCACACAGTGCAGAAGTGGCGGAGCGTCTCGCGAAGGAGGGGCCCGGGCCTCTCCAAGAATTTCGCTGTCCAAGTTCTTGAGTTTTGGCAGGGTTTAAGTGTTATTCTCTTCTTTTGTTTAAACCCCAAACCCCAAACCGTAAACCCTAAACCCCAAACCCCAAACCCCAAACCCCAAACCCTAAACCCTAGGGCGGGGGGGGGGATGGGGATGGGGAGAGGTGGCGTGAAGGACTTCGGAGCGCTCTGGGTAGTCGACCCTAAGCTCCAAGGGTTTAGGGTTTAGGGTTTAGGGTTTAGGGTTCAGGGTTCAGGGTTTAGGATTTAGGGTTTAGGATTTTGGGTGTAGGGTTTAGGGTTTAGGGTTTAGGTTTCCAGGCAGGTTTCGGGTTTGGTTTTTTTGGCGCTGTTGTAACGCAGGTTTGGGGCGGGGGGGGTGGGGTGGGGGTGATGTAGCGGGGGGGGGGGGGGGCGCGGGAAGGAGTACCAACCCTCCACCCTATAAGCTACAAGATGAACCCTCAACCCTAT